TTTGGGGCTAGAATAATGATGATTCTGATCATGCATTTAATGTGATGACAATCAACTTTTGGCAGTGAACTTGAGGATGTACTGCCTTCCTACTCGTCTTTCTGGTGGTCGACAAGTACCCTCTGTTTAGTCGGTCTCGCAAGTTGCCAGCTTGGACGGGTCGAGTGCTCAAAAGGCGTGGGGTTGGTTTGAATGGTTGGTCGAATGAGGATGTTTCTCGTCTCCAACTGGCCAGTGAGTCGACAAACACTACATTTCTAGTTGACCTTGTAAGTTGTCGTCCCGACCTTGGACCTGCTTGGAAAAGTTGGCTCACGTTGGCTTAAGTCACTCCTAGTCATGGTGAGACCGAATCGAGGATTAGTAAGCAAGGGACACATGTTGATTCTAGAGAGAGGATTAATACTGCTATTTACGAGATATAACACGTCATAATCCCAGTTTCATTGAATAAATCTAAGTTGTTGAAAAAAAAAATAATGGACAAATACGATTAATCAACTAAATTTATCTCTACCTTGATGTCAATAACGAGAAACAAATCCTGAATAAATTCTCTGGACGGAAATTTGTGGACGAAAGTAATAGACAAATAGAACCGAGTAAACACACTTTCCAGCGTGGTGTAATCCAAAATCCAAGTATACTTTAACCTTTTGCAAGTAATAAATAATATTCGAATTAGTTAGGTATGAGCCACTTTCACTTGAAAAAGGAACCTTTTGTATTGTAGAGAATCCAAATATATTAGTGTTTTACAAATAAATGATATTTAGATAAGTAACCCACAGACCATTGCGGCATTGCCAGCTGGCTGCGCTCTTTTAGAGAAAAAAAAACTTCTTCCTTTCTAGAAATTCCAAATACATTAATCTCTTAGAAATAATAACGGTTGGATTAATAGCCTACAATGTTGAGGAATTTTAGTCCCCCCGTGTACTACGATCTCCTTAACTTGGAAGTTAACCCACAATCAATAAGATAGAAAATAACCGCAATCAAGAAGAAGAACACCGAGATTTACGTGGTTCGGTCGACCAACTTCGACCTACGTCCACGGGAAAACAATACGATAAATCCACTATGTATCAGGGAGAACTACAAGATGAACCACTCAACTCTCGTCACTCAATCTCTCAACCTCACATACATAATCAACTCTCATATTCTCTCTAAAACTCACCCCTTATAATCTTTTGAACAGAAAAAGATTGTGAAACCCTCTCCCAATATTGTAATATTTTGTACGGACAAAGACTACGAAACCCTCGTCTCTCGCACAATATTCTTGAATCAGGCTAAGCCCTCTACTAACCATAGATTACAAGAATATTGGCTCACTCTCTTCTCCTTAGTTTTTCCTCTAACAATAGAATACTATATATATGGAAACCAAAACTCTATCTCTAGCCTAACTTCTTAATTATAATAGGATTCAAGCTCCTAATCATGATAAGATCCAATCTCCTAATCATGATAGATCTCTAACTCTATTTAACTCCCATAAAGTTATACAAATAATCAAAGACATAGTCCCAACAATCTCCACATTGGATTTGATTATCAAACTCCCTTAAAGATATATCATCGTCGTTTTAAAACTTTGCATCTCCCGCTAGCATCTTCTATACTTTTGCATTTCAAATCAAAACACCTGCACTCCTAATCAGAACACTTGCACTCCAACAGGATATCCCTATGACTCTCACTTTCATCTATCTCGCTGTGACGCCTCCATCTCTTTTGTGCGCACCAAAAGATCTTCGTCACCTCTAACATCAGAAGCAAACCAACCATGTTTGTCTTTCCAACTTGAGCCTGACAATAGCATTCTCCCGCTTGTTGTCCTTGTGCTCCACCTGCATCATTTGTCTCAAACTATATCGGTGCACCTCTCCTACTCCACACTACGAGCCGGATGCCGCTATCTCCTCTATCACTTGGCTTGGACCGAATATGAACGCTCATCGTCTTCAAGTCTAATGTCACCATCTCCATCAGCATGTGTGTCACTCAGTCGTTCCTGCTTGTAAGCTCCACCTGATCTGGCACCGTCCTCCTTGAGTCTACACACCAACCAACTCCTGCTCCCCGATGACTCTGAATAATTATATGTTGACAACTTTACTGTTAGAATCACGTCGATTCTCTACACCAGTCTCATCTGTCGCATACTCGTTTTTTCTATCTGTCATCAGATCTGTCTTGGTAGCACCATCAGAACTTATCAATACTTTTTGATCAATCTGAGCAAAATCTAAAAAATCAAACCCTCCCATCGCGTTCAGAGCACTCCAGAACCTAAGAATTAACTCTTGGATCGTCAAAATCTGCCTCCAAACCCTTCTTTTTATTCTTTTTCTTCATCTTGATTCTTATAACACTGCTAATCTTCACTTTTGTGTGACGTCTATCTTACGAACTCGCTCCTAGATCCATCATCAATGCTCTGATATCACTCGTTGGAGAATTTTAGTCCCCTCGCGTACTACGATCTCCTCAATTCGGAAGCTAACCCATAATCAATAAGATAAAAAATAACCATAATCAAGAAGAAAGAGCACCGAGATTTATGTGGTTCGGTCGATCAACTTCGGCCTACGTCCACGGGGCAATAATACGAGAAATCCACTATGTATCAGGGAGAACTACAAGAGGAACCACTCAACTCTCATCTCTCAACCTCACATACATAATCAACACTCATATTCTCTCCAAAACCCACTCCTTACAATCTTTTGAACGGACAAAGACTGCAAAATTCTTTTCCAATATTGTAACCTTTTGCACGGACAAAGACTACGAAACCCTCACCTCTTGCATAATATTCTTGAATCAGGATACGCCCTCTGCTAACCCTAGATTACAAGAATATTGGCTCACTCCATTCTCCTTAGTTTTTCATCTAATAATAGAAGAATATATATAGGGAAACCAAAACTCAATCTCTAACCTAACTTCCTAATTAGAATAAGATTCAAACTACTAATCATGATGAGACTCAATCTCTTAATTATGATAGATCTCTAACCCTATCTAACTCTTATGAAGTTATACAAAGAATCAAAAACATAATTCCAACATACAGACCACACTGCCAGCTCCCTACGCTCAAGACGGAAAAAGACCTCTTTTGACCCGTATAGAAAATTCTTTTTCTTATTCTACAAACATGTTACAATACAAATCTTGTGTGTAGGAGTCAAATGCACAAAACATGTGATAAAGATTGAAGGGCAATTTAAATATCTCAGATACATTATATAGTTCAGAACATTCTGCTCTATTGTGTTCGTATAATTGTTTTCTATGCGGTCAGCTACACACTGGGAGCGTGACTACAGTGTTCCTCTTCCTGTGGTAACGGACGTAACATCAACTCGTACGAGGAGTGTATGTGCGCGTGTTGCATGGGTCCGCGCCACCGAGGAATTTGTATCGCCAATCCAAAATCCGAAAAATAACAATGAAAACTAATTAAAAAAAATCCCATGTTTCTAATTTTCAAAATCCTAAGGGCATGTTTGGTTGGTTTCCTAAAAGCCAAGAATAGGAAATGGGAGCATGGAAATCTCCCATTTCCTATTTTCAACCATTTCCATCCCTAAAACTTACCCCAACATTCAATAAAATATTATTTTATCATCCAACTCATCTAATAAAATATCATTTTATCATCCAACTCATCCAATAAAATATTACTTTTATCATCCAACATCTAATAAATTATTATTTTTATCATCACATCATCCAACTCATCTCATCTCATCACATCTCATATTTAAAAATCAATCACATCATCCAATAATATGGTGACAACTCCTCTCATCTCCTTTAACTTTCATCTCCACCCATTTCCTCCAAAAAAACAAGGAAATTGATTTCCTTAAGTGTGAGTCACATCATCCAATAATATAATGACAACTCATCTCATCTCATCTCATCTTCTATTTTTAAGAATGAACCAAACACAAGAGAAAAACCTATTATAAGAAATAGGTTTCCTATTCTTTGATTTCCTTCTTTTTTTAACCAATCAAACAACCTCAAAACAACTTTTTTTAAAAAATCACTCACATTATCCAATAATATTGTGACAACTCATCTCATCTCATCTCCTATTATTTAATTTCCTTCTTTTTTTAACCAACCAAACAACTATAAAACATTTTTTTAAGGAAATAGGTTTCCTATTCCTTGATTTCCTTTTTTTTTTTGCAAGCAAACAGCCATTTAATTAAAGTTTTGAAGTTTTCGTATAGCCCCCAACATCTTCATATTTTGAAACCAGTCCCCAAATGTATCCTCAATGTGTATCCCAAACCTTTCCACCATCCGCAAACTTATTTAATTAAAACATTGGATTTTCTAATATTACTCTTCACATCTTTCATATTCTGAAATTAGTCCCCAAAATCTTGATATTTTCAAATCACTCCCAATAATCTTTTAGTATTTTGAAATTAGTCTCAAAATCTTGATATTAGTCCCCAATACCTTTCCACTAGCTGCTAATTAGCGAGACTAATTTCGAAGTATTTACAAGTTCTGGGGGAGTAATTCAAAATACGTAGCTCTGGGAAACTAATTTCAAAATTCCTGAAGGTTTGAAGGGCTGATTCATAATATCGAGATTTTCATGACTAATTTTAAGTATGAAAGATTTGGTGTGCTAATACAGGGAAACTCTANTAAACATCTGTACGGTGCTCTGGTCGGCAGCCGCACCAATACACCAACACCTGCAGCATTGCTAGCCTAGAGAGAGAAAGAGTTTAGTTTCTAGAGTGAGAAGCATGCCCAAAAGTTCTAAAAATAGAAAAAAGAGAAGTTTTGAGTGCTCTAGAGAGAGAAAGCTTATTGATACATTTCTTTAGTACTAGAAGATCAATGTGGTTCTAGCTTTAGGGATCAGGATATTAAAAAAAAGTTTGCAAGTGGGGGAGAGATAAAGAGAGAGAGAGAGAGAGAGAGAGAGAGCATTGGTTTTTTTAAAGTATTCATTTATTTTTCCTGGGTTTTAAATTTGGAAACCCAAAAGTTAATTTGTTGTTATATTAGACAACAGCAAAAGTTTTTTTTTTGTTTTATATGGAGAGGGGTTGGTAGGAGCAACATAAGAGGGGGGAGAGAGAGAGGACAGAGAGAGGAGAGAGAGAGGGAGAGAAATGGTGGGCTCAAGCAATGCAGAAGAGAATCAGCAAGGTGAAGATTGTTATTCATTTTTTTTTAATTTTTTCCTATTTTATTAAGATTGAGTTGGTAGCTCAAGAGTTGGTTTTTGATTATTTTATTTCCTTTTGGGATCAGCACTTTTGGGTTTCTTTTATTTGTTTATTTAGATTGTGGGTCTAAATGGGCATGTGGGTTTCCTTCAATTTTTTACCATTTTTACTCTGATTTGATGAATGTGAGATTTCCTGTTTGTTCGCTGTTCATGTTGTTGATTTTGTTGGCATTTGTTAATATTTTTGGTAATGTTTTGATTTTTCTGGTGAGTCTCTCTCTTTTGGCTAAAACCCATTTTGGGTTTTACTCTTTTTTTCCGGTAGTTTGAGGTAATAATCAGATTGGATGAAAATAAATGTTTACCACATGTATAATTTGTGTGTTGTTTATGGTTTGATCTTGCTGTTTTAGATGGTTAAAATCCATTTGTTGATATTTTAAGTTGTATGTGATCAATTTTAGTGTTTCTTTCTCTTTTAGCCAAAACCCATTTGTGGGTTTTGTGTTTTCTACGCTTAGATTGAGGAATTGATGAAATTGGATGAAAATGACATGTCTATTATCTTGTAATTGTTTAACTGAAGTGAAATCTAATCTCTGTGTTGTGCACGCTTTTGATTTTACTATCTTTCAAGTTAATTATCCTGAAACTTTTAGGTTATATTTTGTTGTTGGGTGTTTCTTTCAGTTTTTGGTAGTCTATACTATAGAAAAAAACCTCTTGTAGAAATATTTCCTTTGTTCTTCGGTAATTAACATCAATATGATTTAATTAATTTTCTGTGTACCAGATGGGAATGATTATCTCTACAATGCACTGTGGCGTGCATGCGCCGGCCCTTTAGTATCAATTCCTTGTATTGATGATAAAGTTTTCTACTTCCCTCAAGGCCACATTGAGGAGGTATTTTAGCCCTATTGTTTTTCTTTCTTTAAGTTGCTACAGATTCAACACTGCAAAAGATATGTTCGTATGATTATGTAGCTCGAGCTTGTTAAAATTTTTTATTGATGTAGATTGCTGCTCATTCAAGTAGAGATGGCGATAGGCAACTTCCCAATTATGATTTGCCTTCTAAGATATTATGTAGAGTTGTAAATGTTGAGCTCCAGGTCTGTCTGTGTCAATTCTCCTTTTTTGCATACATTAATTGGCTAGAATTGCTTGGTTTGTGTATGTATCTTACAATATTAGACATGTATAATAATTTATTTGCTGCTGTTTTCTGGTATCATCGTACAGGCAGAACGCGACACTGATGAAGTGGTTGCTCACGTGACTTTGATTCCTCAATCAGAGGTTGCATTCTAGTCTTCTTAAGTTTTTTCTTTGTCTAATTCGCATTAAAGGGGTCATATAGTTTTTGGATTTGATTGGGTGGTTTCTTTTACAGCAGGATGAGAGCACATCTGAGAGGGAAACAGTACAGGTTTCAGCAGCTCCTCAACAAACTGTAGTGTCGTTTTGTAAAATCCTGACAGCCTCTGATACTAGTACACATGGAGGATTCTCGGTTTTAAAGCGACACGCAGATGAGTGCCTTCCTCAGCTGGTTCGATTCCTTGTAATCTTTGGATGTTAACAGAATTCATAATATGGGATTTGATTTAATTGTGCTCATAGTTCTGTTTGACTTTTTGGGTTTCTTGGTATTTTAGTCCCTTAATTGATCATATTTTGAAATTAGTCACTCTAGTCAAGAGCATAAATGGCAATTAGAGGGAATTAATTTGAAACAATGGACGGGAATTGGAAGGGCTAATAGCAATTTCAGTGATCCGGAGGATTAATGCAAAATAACTTAATGATTGAGGGACCTAATAGCAATTTTAATGATTTGAAGGACTGATTTCAAAATATGAAATATATAAGGGATTAATATGGAAAAAAACTCTTGAATGCTATGTGTAGTGATCATGAATTTCACATTTTAAATCACTTGTTCAATGTAGTTAAAAACCTTTCTGATGCATTTGATTGTGACTAATTATGCAAGTGTATCCGCATTTTTGTGAAGGATATGACTCAGAACCCCCCGGCACAAGAGTTGGTAGCTAAGGATTTCCATGGGACAAGGTGGGGCTTCCGTCATATTTATCGCGGTACGTGTATTACAAAAAGGAGGTATTAATTTCATATTTATCGTAGTATTTCATTACTTGACATCCATTTTTCTGTTGGCATTAGGACATTGTAGAGTTTGCATGTTAATGTGTTCTATCTGAATAAGTGGAACTTGTTGTTATCATATTAGAGGAAAGCCAAAAGTAAAAGAAAATGATGCCTTATTTAACTGCATAAATTTGTTGCTAAGTTGAAGTTTGTTTTACTGTTAGCACATCATGGTCGCAATTATAGCTTACTGCTAAGTCGAAGTACATGATATTGCTAGTCATCATGATCACCATTTTCATCATGGTTTCCATTTTAGTTCACTGTTTTGAGAAACCAAAGTATTTCCTTTTGTATGAACTCCAAACAAGCATTCTTGATTTCACTAATAAATTATATATATTTTATGGTCATGACATCTGCTTTGCAATCATCCAATTAATGTGTAGAGGGAATTATATCCTCTACCCTGTAGATCCTCCAATGGATGGTCTGCCGAATGAGAACTAATTTTATTGCAGCTTCTCCTTAGCATTATATAACTCATTTGCTGAAATATAGATGTTATTTGTTTGTTTTTCACTGAAAACTGTTACCCACTAATCCTGTTCTATTTCTACATTTTTCTGGGGACAATGCGAGTAGTTAAGCCAACTTATCTTGAAATTCCCCTTTTTAGCATTATATAAATCATCCAGTGAAAAAGAGAAGATATCTTTGTTCATGTTCACGAAAGAGCCCTTGCCATTACACATTCTGATTAAGGGTTTTGTGCAGATGAAAGAATTAGACGAAAGGCTGATGCTGTTTGTTTCTGGCAGTGAAATGATTCATTTATTTGCATGCATGCTATTTGTTTCTTCTATTTTCAGCTTTTTATCCAACGTTTGCTGTTTTTGCTAATTAGGCCAACCAAAAAGGCACTTGATTACAACTGGCTGGAGTACATTTGTGAACTCAAAGAAACTTGCTGCTGGGGATGCTTTCATTCTCATCAGGTCAGCTCATTCTAACTAAGGATTATCCAGGCGATCTTCAACTTGACTTCTGAAAATTTGCTCAAGAAAGGAACTTTTTAAGGGGGGCTAATCAGTCTTTTTTTGAACTTTTAGGAGTTATTCAGTGATAAGAACATGCTAACTTACATGTTTAGATTGTTATAATACATAAATTGGTTGATTTCACAAATTTGCTGAACTTTGTTCGGATTTGCATGTAACCCTCCTGAACATTTTTATCTCATTAAACACCCAGCACTTTGGGCCTTTTCAAATAAACCCCTGACGGTGTTAAACGTTGTTGTAAAAAGACAAAATACCCCTATAAAATTACACCATAACACAGTCAGGTGTTTTATTGGGAAAAGCCCAAAGGTCACAGGGATTTTGTGACAAACCCAAAA